GGAAGATCAATGTGAGGGATGCTACAGAGGGGCATCTGTGTGCAGCACGGCCTCCGCTGCCTAGGAGTCAGAAAGGAAGAAAAGTTGAGCCATTACACCACCGCCAGAAGAGGCTCAGAGACAGAGCAGAGCAGAGCCCCGTCCCACCTGCCCACCGCCCCACCATCCCCGCCATCCACACACTTGCATGGACACGCTGGTGTGTGTGCACACACACCTGACTCTCAGAAGTCAGGCAAACTCTACTGGCATAGCCATGGGCTTCTTTTCCCTGAGAAGACAACCTTGTGACCACGGTGGACCAGGTCTCCTTTCAGACCTGGACCATAGGCCATATCCCCAAGATAGGAAGCAGGAGCAATAAAGATCCCTCTGGTAAAGGAGCATATAGGCTATAGCATACAGAAGACCATGCCATGAGTGACACTGCAGACAGAGGCTACTGGGCTTCTGAGGAGGGTCCCACCTCCCATGCTAATTATCCAGATCAGTCCATTCTGAAATCAGTCATGAGACAGCAACTTCTTCCCATAAACCGGGATGTGAAGTTTTACCTTATGAGACATTTTTGTCCCCAAACTGTGTTTCTAAATAATCAGTGTGCATATAAAACACCTGGTGATCCTGTTACAACGAAGATTCTGATTAAGCAGGCCTGAGATGGGGTCTGAGATTCTGCATTTCTAATGAACTCTTGGTCCTTGTTGGGGTGACAAGGCATGAGAATGGTGACACAAACCCACCTGATCCAATTCTTGGTCCCCCACAAAGTTAAATGCTATTTTATACCAATGGCTACAGCCTTTTTAGAAGCAGGCAGGTCACATCTTAGAAGGACATCCCACTAAACTCAAAAGATGTCTAAAGCTTTTCTCTGTCATAGGTAATACGAGTTACCTGCTGCTATTGGGATTTATACCTCAGTGTAATCAAATGTAATCTTTCCTTAATTCTTGCACAGGTGCCAACACACAGCTACTAAAGTCCACGGGCATTCCCTAATGTCCTTCTTATCTTCCCCAGGAGGTGGTAGAAGAAAGCCATGCCTACAAGAGGTATGCCAATCACCCCAACAGAGAACTTCTGTGGGCTTGAGTCTCAATCATTCATTGTGTAGCAGAGGGCAATGTTCGAGTGGTGGGGAATGGGCAGAGAACACAACCCAAAATATAAAACAAAAAACCCAGAAGCTTTCTGATAGGTTCAAGTTACTTAACCATTTTATTTACCCATTCTACACACACGCGCACACACACAAAAGCACATTTCAAATACAGTAATACACACCTCAAGTGGATCTGAGTGATATACTTTGTTACCAGTGTCACCACAATGATGCGAAGGACTTTATTCCTATTTTTAGCAGAGCTGTGTCTAGGAACCTGCACAATTCCGCTCCTGTGTGCTCAGCCCCTCTCCCACCCACGCCCCTCAGGGCACCACTTGTGATCAGCCTTTTGCTTTTGCCTTAGCAAAATCATCACCATATCAGAATGAGTTGATCATGTTAGGGAAAAAAAACCAAACCCACACACATGCACACCATGCATATGTAAAAACATTTGAGTAGATAAATACTACTAGATTAAGTAAATAAAAGTCCAGTGAAAGGCTTACTGAAAATATTTTTGTCAATTCTTAAAATCAACTTTTGAATACAAAATCTCCTTTGTATATTCATTAATTAAATTAGGAGTAAAACCCAAATACATGGCAAACTAAAACCAGCAGTGCTATCTAACTGAATGCTACGTTCCACAACAGGGTTACATTGAAGACACAGAAAGTTCAGAAACCAAGTGCGAAAGTGAGGTCCTGCCCTAAAGGAAGGAATTGAATGAGATGATTTCAAGTAAAAGTAATAGCTACAGGCTCTGATGGACATTCCCTTAGCGGAGGTCACAAATACTGTACAACTAATGTCCAACCTTCATTTTTTACAAAAGGAGAATCTGACTGCTATGCTACAACCAATGTCTATTAAAAATCATAGTGTACAGAACTTCCCCATTTAAAAGTACAACATGTGGAGTGTTTGTCCCTTTCTTTGTAAGACACATATTGGAGACAGAGAATTGCTACCTATTGGTATGGTTAGAAAGTGGGCAGACTACTGGCTTAGACACCATAGAGCCTATTAGTCAGTCGGCACATACGCCCTACTGGAGTCTGTCAGTCGGATGGCTCACAGACCCTGACAACTGGAGACAGTCTACTAGACACTAAGAGTCTAAATAAAATTCCTGGACTCACTTGTGGTATCTGTGTGACCTCTAGGGGCAGTCAGAGTTCTACCCTGCCACAACTGCAATGACTTAACTGGAATACAGTTTCAAAATAAAAATATTTTAAAACACAAACAAGTCAAATGCGTACTAGAAAAGCTGAGGACATTTATCAAACTTCTTGACTCAAATACAACGTGGTTTGTGGGTTTGGAAAAGACAATGGAATGTACATAAGACTACGTAAGCCACACAGAGTTATCTCAATTACTGGACACTTGTTCCCTTGTCCACTGGCCACCACAAGAACCAGCAAGTTTCTTGGGAGCCCAGAGCTCCTACTCACAAAGACACTGTCAGATGGACTTATTTCCAAACAGCTATATCTTACGTTTCTTCCAAGGGGGAGTGCCTCTGAAAATTAAAATGTGCGTTGCAAAGGGGATTACCAGATCCTCACATGAAATTTTCAACGATTCTGTCTAGGAGTACAAATATATTATATCTTTAACTTCTCGGGAAACAAAACCCAGAGACAGTGATACAGGGAAGACCCCCATCCAGCCCCTCGCATGATGCATGTTTTTAAAAGGTTGACTTATTCTACTTTCCAACTCAGTGTAAAACTATCCTTTTACCAAAACAAAAGACAAAACAGACAATAAAAGCTAAGTTTTAACTTGAGGATTAGGACACAGGAACAGAAGCAGATTTTCCAGATCTGCTTTAGAATCCTTTTTCGAATTGTCACCAACTTCCTCATTCAGATTTGAAGCCAGAAAAAGAAAGCAGAGTATATAACAATTTCCCTTGCCCCTATTCATCCCACTAGGCTAAATACAAAGATCTTCACCTATTTCTCCCATAAAGTAATGTAAAGCCTTGGCAAAGGGATTCTGTGGTAGACACAATCTTCTTACCAACACGCATTCAAGTAAGAAGATAAAGAACAAGAAAGGGAAGATGGGACGTAGAATTTCCCTAATATTTGGAATTAAGAGTTCTATATTCCATATTCATCTGGCTTCTTCCGGCTCAACTTCTCTGAAGAGATCTTGCTCTAAAAACTGAAGGGTGCTGAAACTCTGGCTGTTGTCAAATTCGAATCTCTCATGTGTTCTCTGAGGATAAGCCCACCTCAGCTCCTCTCCTGGGGAAGTAAACTGGCATGGAGAAATAACCAAGTCCTCCCTGACCAAGAGCTGATGCAGTCTAAATCCAAAGTCTTTGGGTCAAATCGCTCTCTCTTGTCATTCATTAGCTTTGGGTTACTCTCACTTCACAGCAGGAGAAAAGACTGAATTCCCCTCTGAGTTATGGTTCGACTACCTAAGCAAAGGCAGACAACATATGAAACACTCAGCCAGTCAGTCTAGGAGGTCAAATGTGACAACAAACATATATCTGGGGATACTTTGTACAAGTGCCACCTACCTTCCCTAGACCACATCTCATTCTCACATTGGTGGGGGGAAGGGGACGTCCCCACTCCCCAGCCCTTTAAGTCTCACAGTCCTAGGACAGGAGAAGAGGCAAAGTGACGGGCACACCACAGCAGTGCTCAACCCTTCTAGGCTCGGTGTGTTTTATTGCTCTCCTGCAAATGTTCATTTGCTATAAATTACCTGTCCTGTCTGCTTGCATAACCTGCTTTGGGTTATGGATCTTTTCTTTTACTCCTGTGGGTCCTTCACCATTACCCTTACCCAGTCCAAAGCCCTGTGAAGACACTGAGTACACATTGCCTAACAGCTAAACAAGAATAGCAGGCTATTTTACATTTTTAATGAAATTTTAAGAATCGAGGCAAGCAACCTTTAAAAACTGGCTGTGGGGGGCTGGCAGGTGGCGTGGTAGTTGGACTTCCACATGGCCAACAACAAATTGAGTCCCAGACCTGGGTGGCATGCTTTCTCACTTTCCCTCTCTCTGTGCCCCTCTGATCAAATTAAAATAAGTAATTAAATATATAAAGTTAAATAAAATAATTTTTTTTTGGAGAGGTTTTTGCTATAGGGCACATGTGCACACCAGAAAGACAGAGAGAGACAGAAAATGAGAAATCATCCCCCCGGGGGATGGCCACACTGTAATCCCTTCTCCTCCATTCTCCTCTCGGGATCTTGGGCATGCATGCACACGTTCCTGGCATGAGTTTCAGCCACTGGGTCTGGTACTTGAACCGTGGTCAACTACATGAGAGTCCAGCGACATAACCATTATGTCAACTGCTGGTCCCTAAAATTAAAAAAAAAAAAAAAACTGGCTGTGGTACCCTGCTCTAGAGCAACAGCAAAGGACAGCAGGTCAGGGGTCAACTGCCTGTGATGACAACCTTTAGAATCCTGTAGGTTCTACCTAAGCACCTCTCTCCAGGATGTCTGAAGTGACCCAAGGACAATTATCTGATTTAGTCATCGATTAGTTCCACATCACCTTGCAATGTTAGGGCAAAGATGGGACTGGGATCTAAAATAAAAACCCTCCAAAACACAGTGGCCTGCCTTCAAGGGGGGTTACTCCATTTAAATTGGGAACTCTGACATCTAATTCCAAAGAACTGTTCTTTCAAAAATTTGAGGAATTCAGAATTCCTAAGTCGACATGTGGTCCAAGGGACTACTACCCTAGCATTTTCCCATCCACCTTCACCAGGTAGAGTTCGTAACCTAGCGTATGAATCAGAATATAGGGCAAGCTATTTAAACACATTACAGACCCCACTTCCAGAGAGTCTGAGTCAGTGTAAAGCTTCAGATGGACCCAGGCACATGGATATCTCAAGTCCTAGGGGCCAGATGATGGCACAGTGGTAAAACGTGACACTCTGTGAAGCTGACTGACCTGAGGAAATTTCAGGTTCATGTCCAGAGACCTCCCTAAGTAGATCGCATGTGCATGCCCATCGTCCGAAGCTGGCTGAGGCTGGAGGTAAATCATGGTGCCAAGGCCCTACTGGAGGTGCTGTTTGACTTTCTCGCTCACTCTCTCTCTGTCTCTAGTTCATGGAAAAAATTAACTTTTTAAAAAGTTTTTTTTCAATGTTTGTTGTTTAGTAACATAGCATTGTATTTATAAAACAAACTCTAAAATTATAAATGACAACCTGAATAAAAAACGTTCTAAAGGGGACTCTGAGGAATACTCCTGGATGAAAACCATGACAAAAGGTCTTCTATAACTAAACAAAAACAAACAAAGCAAAAACACCCTTAGAAACTAATTTGCTCTCACTTTTATCTCTAAAAGACAACTTGATAACTTCAAGGTGGGGCATCCCCTCTTCTAAAAATTTCATGAGCATTCTAAACTTGCCACTTAGGAAAATGTACACATAGTCGTACGTTTTGTATGGAAAACTGGGCGACAGGGTAAGCCAGTAGAGGCCAGCACAGGGCTAAGAATTTCTTCTCTAATTATTTCCTGTTTTACCCAACAAAAAAAGGGAAAGACAGAAGTGAATAGATAAATACAGTCAACAGTTAGACCCCAAGGGTCCCAAGACACCGAGACAAGACAGTTTCTCCCTATGAACAGAAGAATATCCCAATGAGAGATTAAATAGTCAAGCCTTTTCGTGTTTGCAAAAATGTTGGTGATATAAAAAAAGGTTATTGATGTATTATTAATTTTTTTAATTTAAGGCAAGTGAACTGAAAATTACTAGAGGGCCAGTTCCATAGTGTGGCAGTTAGGCCAGGTATACGGGAAGCCAGATCCCCATGGTTTAAATCCCAGCCCCGGAAGCTTGAAAAATATGCCAGATACATGTGTGTGTGCCCAAAATCCTGACAGGATGGAGAAATGGAGGGAAATGGTGTGACCATGCCCTACTGGGTGCGCTCCTTTTTTTCCTCTTTCATGTAAGAATATGTGTCCTCTGGCAACTCATTTAAAAAAAAAAAACAAAAAAAGAAAATTACTAGAAAATAATAAGCCATTTTAGTGAAGTCTTTTCTGCCTTTTGCCTTGAGCCATTCAAACATCGGTGGGGACTGCTGAATCTAATTCTCTCCTACTAGACCGCCCTGGAGGTCAGGGGACTCTTAATCCTAATCCTGCCCTTGTAGATCACCCTGGAGGTCACTAGCTTTGGCAGGAAATTTGCTGTAACTTGTAAAAGAACCTGGGAGCCACTGGAGAAAAGATCTGACTGCCTTCCAAGAGCCCCGTAAGAAGCAGACTGCACTTCACAGCCACAGGAAGACCCACGCCTGGTTCTCCAAGCTAAGAACACAAACTGAGATGTTTCCCACAGCCTCAGAGCCGGCCTCCCCCAGGGCATTGAGGACAGGATTGTTTCTCGTGAAAAGAGGCAAGAACTCTCACCCTATGTCCACTTGCAAGCTCCAGAGCACTCTGCAGATGTTCTGTAGCCTGGGCTGACCCCTGCAGGACCTGGCTGGAGAGGAAGGAGAAGGGAAAGGAAGGACTCCCCCACTGACGCCCACCACAGAAGAGTATCACAGAGCCCAGCCTTCTCTACTGCCAGCTGGGCCCTCCCTTCCTAGACAGATGCCACAAGGCTGTGCATTACCCTGCACAACCACAAGGCCAGATAGTGAGGGGAAAGAAACCAGACTAGGAAGCACCACTCAGAAGACGCACATTCAAGAGACAAGGGTGAAGGAAGAGGGGCTTCTGCATTCCCCTCCACTCCCCACCCTCCAACCCCTACTTCACTAACATGAGGACGTGAGTGAGTTTAGACACAGGGAATAGACAGAAGAATCAAGAATAAGGGGCATGCTTAGCCTCAGGAGTGTCTCCCTTTCCTCCTCCTCTAGATCACCCCATCTGAGGACCTGTCCTTAAAGACCCATGAGCCAACTTGCCCCTGGGAGGGGAGACGTTCCAAACGGAAGAGCAGCTACAGCTCGTCTGCAAACACACGACTCAAGTGTTTTGTTAAGATTAACAGTGAAGTGTTGTTGGGGGGAAGGGGGGTCAGGTGAAGTTAAATGACTCCTTGGTGATTAGTGACAAGGACAGGAGGCCAGGGCTGGAGGGAGACACACGGTTACACCACCGGAATGCTGACGTGGCTCTTCGGCTGGTCGGCCCCTTCTTGCATGTCCAGGGCACGGAGAGGGCTGAGGGGCTTGAGGGGCCGGCTCCCAACACTGTAATTTCTTGGACGCCTTATTGTATTCGAACTGGACAGAGGCGTAAAGCTGTTCCTTCTCATCCTTACAGGGGTTTGGTTCTTGGGGAAGTTGTTCTGATTGGAAATGGAGGGACACCATACAAATGAAAGCCAAGCCAAAAGCTCACGGTAAAGGCTAAATAATGCTCATAACCACGGCAGCTTCCTTCACTCCCAACTCCTTCACACACAGGGCCTCTCATGGGATGTGGGACACGGCCTGATCTCCCAGCCCCAGGGAGCTAAAAGGCTGCAGAGGGAGAGGCTCCTGGAGTACCATACCATTCCAAAGCAGGAAAAAGGCTCAGAGAGAGGAAGGGACTTAAGATTACACAGACCACTAGGGGCAGACTTCGGCACAGACCTCAATCCCTTGACCCCCTTATAGGCTCCTCTGCACTCTGTTTCTAAAGGGAGATCTTCCTGGGAGGTAAATATGCATTTCACTTGGGCCAAACACGTTCCATATTTAGTTGAGTTTTTAGGAGCCAACTTTCAAAGTTAAGACTCATGAAAGAGATACTAACTTAAAAAAAAAAAATCCTAATTCCAATATCCCTTCCTTTTGGAATGTAAACAGACTACAAGGACATGAGTTCTGGATCTGCTTCCTTTGGTACCTAGAAGATAGCCCAGTCTCTCGATGCCAAAGGCTCCAAGACTCAAGGTGGCAGGGACACTCTGTGCTTATTGGTGGGAAAATACTTACGGTTGGCTTGTCTCGGTGCGTGTTCACAGCTTCCACGTTGAGTTTAATCGTTTCCACTTTGCACCCTAAAAAAAAAACAGGGAAGAGAAGAGGTCTTTAGGAAGGAAAGGCAAAGGCAAATTCCTCAGTTTCATTATGAGAAACCACACCATAAAGGCTTACCACACACACGTACGTACATACATACATCTCTTTAAAAACAAAAGGCACCGATTGGAAATTCCCTGGTATTCAGGGGTGATAAGGTTGAACTCTTGGACAAACGTCAGAGAAAATTCAAACATCCTGACCTTCTTCGATCCCCACCTCCTGCCAGTCCCTAAGCTCATAGTTACCGTAGGCCACAGGAGTAAGTTTGAAGATGGTATGGAGAGGACACTTCAAGTATGGTAGCTCATCTGAAAGCAGAAAGAGCAGGTGAGGGACGTCTCTCAGTATCACGGAGCAAGGTTAAGTCAGTGGGAGAGAGAGAGACTCAAGAACTCATAATCCATTGTCTTTACTTTACATTGACCACACCTAGAGTTGTATAGCTTCTGCTCTACACCCCAGATAACCTTCAGGACCAAAGAAGCCATCCAAGCTACTGAGTTCTAAGGAAAGAAATCATGCAATTCTAGATCTTTCCAGGTAGGCAAAACACGAGTCTGTTCTACAACCAAGGGTCCCTAGAAGAGAAGATTGTGGCCGATCTGTGAGCTTCTGAGCAGGGCAGGTGGGTTGGGAAGGGAAGTATCAGAGACAGCAACACTAATGCACTGCTCTCGCCAGAAACAACCGTCCAGCTCCAATCCAAAAGATGAAGATGCTTCTAAGATACCACCCTCCCAGTGGGCTATCCCACCACGTTCCTGATGTTGCCAAGAGGGTCAGCACGATGCTGGCCCGTTAGCAGGCAGGAACCAGGAGCGCTAGCAGCAGCTGCCGCCCTCCCTTGGGGGCTTTTGTAGCCACAGAGCAAATTCAGAAAGTTGACCCAATGGCTGCTGAGAGTCTCACACTGCTGCCTGAAGAATGCACTCTAATTAGAGTGGAGTGTGGGGAGGTCTGGTAGCAGGAATCCTGGTGCCACTGGGAGTCCAGTCTTCTTTCTATGGGTGCGTCCCCCCCACCCTTCCTCAAATGGCACCTGCGCCCTTATCCAGGAAGTAGGCCAGGAGGCAGCGCATGACAGCCTGGTGAGAGATGACGAGGACGTTGCCCTGGCGTTCCAGCTCCATGATGACAGGCTCCAGCCGCTGCACCAGGTCCTGGTATGACTGTGGAGAGAAGTAGGCAGGCTGGTAGGAGGCCAACGTGAGCTGGCAGCCCAGTCAGTGGCTGAGTCCAGAGTCAAGAGGCCACTTCTTCCCAGCTGGCTCTCCTCCAGGAAGCTCAGCGACTTTGTGTCGCCTCCTAACTGGCCTCTGCCCTGGTATCTCCTGGGAATGCTTGGATCTTTTGAGAGCAACATTCAGAACAAGGAAATTCTGAGAATAATAATTCTGAATTCAACCTACATTGCTGGTTTATTTTTTTCTTCCCACAGATTGACAGCCATGTGTAAGGTAACAAGAGACCCTGAGGATTTTCCTGGAGCTTGGCCGTTCTGTTGTATTTACTTTACCTTACCCAGTCCCAAGAGTATGAAGCCACTTAGATCAGGAAACAGTCTAAAATACTAAAGATGAAAGAGAAATAAGTCATACCCCACCCCCCAAAGTTCACTTGGTGACTGTACCTGCTTGGTATGGGTGGGATTGAGTAGAATTAAAAAAAAGAAGTAAGAAAGATCATATGGAGGGACCAGCAGTTGGTGTAATAGCTATGTCAATGGACTCCTACATAGTCAACCGTGGTTCAAGTCCCAGACCCATGTGGCTTAAACTCACACCGGGTGCGTGTGCATGTGTGCCCAAGATCCCGAGAGGAGATTGGAGGAGAAAGGACTGTGGCATGGCCATCCCCCTTGGGGGATGATTTCTTGCTTTCTGTCTTTCTGTCTCTCTCTGTCTTTCTGGTGAGCGCATAAGCTCTATAGTAAAAACTTTTCAAAAAAAAAAAATGAAAACGATCATATGGATTATACAAAATACTCAACACAGAGGCCATTTTGTCACTGCTTTTCCCTGGAGGTCTTAACAAATTAATACGGCAACTGACTATTTATCCTGACTTAAACACAGGATGACCCAAAGGTAGTAAGAAAAATAATGCCTGAATCGTTCTTTCTAGACCCCCAAAATTACATCCAATTTTTCCCCAAAGTTAAAAAGTTAAGCCCCCAGCAAAGAGCTAGGCAGTCACTCCACATGAGGGGTCTCACCTCCCCACCAGGGTATCGATACAGATACTTCTCTTGATCCCGAAGTGCAAACTCGTCTGGGTACTGCTTCTCAATCTCTGCGTAGGTCATCTCCTCACACACGCCCTGCAAGGGGGCACACTGGTTAGAAGCAGACTGCCCCACTCCAGTCCCATCCAAACACGGAAGAGGACATTGGGAAGACAAGTTTCCTCCTATATGCCATGAGGGTGTCTGGGACTCAGGGCTGAGGGCTGCAATGGAGAGCAGGTGGCTGCTGTGGCTTAAATGGATACTTTCTCCCACTGCCATGAGGAAGGTCAAGAAGAGACAGCTTGATACAAGGAGCAGGAAGCAGAGAAAGTTGAAGGCACTGGAGCCTCTGCAGGACGAATAAAAGAATCGAGAGGAAGGGAAGAGAAACAAATGCCTGCTTCTGTGCTCAAGGACAGAGAAGGCCAAGAAAAATTTGGGGAAGGGCTTTTTCAGAATAGCTGACCAAATGATCTGAGAGGAAATTAAAGAAGTGGCTTGTTAGTGCTTTCTTTTTCCCAGGAGGGAAATAAGCAAAGGAACAAAATGAGTCCTTGTTAGCCCTACTCTTCACAGGTGCCAGAGTGTCTGGGTCAGAAACTGGCACAGATCCTAAAGAAGGCAGGAAGCCCCCAGTAAGGTTCCCCATGCCAGGCCCTTTCCCACCCCCAAACTGGCCTTAGATTCAGCTTCCTCAAAGTTTCTACTTGGTGGATCTAGTTTTCTAGATACATCTGCTCCAGTCCTGACTTCTTTTTTTTTTTGGAGAGATTTTCACTGTAGGGCGCGTGCGCTCGCCAGACAGAGAGAGACATAGAGACAGAAAGCGAGAAATCACCCCCCAGGGGGGATGGTCACGCCGCAATCCCTTCTCCTCCATTCTCCTCTCAGGATCTTGGGCACGCACGCACACGCGCCCGGCGTGAGTTTTAAGCCACCGGGTCCAGGACACAAACCGCGGTCGACTACGTGGGAATCCAGCGACATAGCCATTACGCTAACTGCTGGTTCCCTCCAGTCCTGACTTCTGAGAGCTCCTGCCCGATAGGAGACTCTTAGCAGCTTTTATGGCCTTCAGAGCTTCCTACTTACAGCATCAATCTCATTCAGAATCTTCCACTGCTCATAGGTCACCCCCAGAGATTCTGCAGTCTGGATAGTCCTCTTCAACTGGCTTGTCCACACTTTGAGGTCTGCTATTTTTTGCTCTTCCAGAAATGTCCGTAGGGCCTGGGAAAACTAGGGTTTGAAAAAAAAAAAAAAAAAGCACACTCAACACACATACATATACACATGAAAGTTGCTACCTTGGCCTGTAATGACCAGTGTTTACAGGCATGGTCAAAATCTGTAAGGTGCTGCGTAGTTAATAAAAACCTGAGGCAGTGAACTTCAACAGGATTATCCTGTCCTGTGCTGAGAACACAGGCCACCCGAATAAATACTGGATGGCTGAATGATCCCAGCACAAATGGCTTCAAGTTGCCCATGCTTCAATGGAGAGACCTAGAGCAATAAGCAAGGAAATGTCTGCAGCACTTTCCAGTTTAAGCCCTAATGGAATTTAAGGAGAGGATAAAGGATAACTTCGGCTATCCCCTTCTAGCTCTAAGCCTAGCAAATCCAGCCTGCTGGCTAAGTACTCACCTGCTTTCCCCGCACCGAGAGGCCAGAGTCTCCCCCAATCTTCCCCAAGAGATTGAACTCGCTCTCTCCATGACGGCAAAGGTAAATGGTTCGAGGCTGGACATGGATATTCATGAGGTAGTAAACAATCTTGCTCTGGATGTAGTCCTGGACTCTATTGACTAAAAACCGCTGGCCCACATTTATCACCTTGATGAAAGAACGATCCCTGGGATAACATAGGAGGAAAAAAGAAATCCCAGGGTATGAAAATCTGAGAATAAGAGTAGGAGGGGAGAGGTAGTTTGTAGTGACTTGTAGATTCCTGGCAGCTCTTCCTCCTCTCCTTGGTCCTACCCACATTTTGGAACCAAATGGTAAGGGATAGATTATACCTCAAGACCAAGAGGAAATACAACTTCAGTCTATACCACTTCCTCAGTACCTGTACTGTGCTATGCAATGTAGATAAATACGACAAACAGAATTCAGGCTTCCCATCAGAGGCTAGGTTAAATGATCAAAAAATGATGTTAAACTCGGAGCTGGCAGGTGTCATGGGAGTTGAGGCACTGGACTCCCACATAGCCAACTGCAGTTCGAGTCCTGGACCTTTCACATTTTCCCTGTCTCTGTCTCTCTCTGGTCACATTAAGAAATAATAATAAATAAAATTAAATCATTCTAAGAAAAAGAAAAAGGAAAGAAAAGGAAAAGGAAAATGATGTTCAACTAAATATTTGGTGGGAAGCACAGGCCCCGTCTAAGGCAGTCAAGCTCTTGCCAGAAAACAGCAGAGCAGCATCAAAAGGAGAACGATGTCCAGGTACTCCCTACATCTCCCTCACTGAGCTTCTCAAGGGCACTTCCAGGAACCATTTGCTTTGTGAACATCACAGAATTATTTTATCATAAAAGTAGTATTTATTCCAAAAAAAATTTAGGAAAAAAAGGTAGAATATGCAAATCATTCATCACTTGACTATCAAAAATAACATCTACAAACATGCACCTATAGTAAATATGTTTCTAGAATGTTTTCCTTTTTTTTTTTTAATTGCCAGAGGGCATGTGCATTCTCCAGAGAGAGACAGGAGGTAGGGAGTAAGAAAACAGTCCCCAGTGGAGTGTGGTCATGCCATAATCCATTCTCCTCCATTTCTCTATCCTTTATTGAGGACACCATGTACCTAGCACAATTTTTCCAAGCCACGCAAGGGCGGGACTCAAATTGTGTTGTCAGTCATGTGGGATTCAGTTCCCTTAGCCACTGGGCCATGGGGCCGGCTCTGGAATGTCTTCTCGTGTATAACTTTAGACTGACTGAGTACACTGTTACGTCATGTCTAGGGCAGTAGTCTTCAACCACTGTCTTAAGGAAACAGCTCCAAATACTAGCATTCTGTGCACACCTCCCTTGACGGACCAAAGGCTGTGTCCTTTTCTGAACAGAGCAGTTAACTGCTGGGGACACACACTCTCTGTCATAAGGCCACATTCCCACAGGGTCCATGTGCACACCATCTTTCTTCAGCATGGACTTTACATTTTCCTGTGGCACTTATACCTCACACAGGGCAAGTTAAGTACCATGACACTGGTAGACGATGCCACAGTAACGGTGACTGATATAGATCAGACATTTCTGTGAGTCAGGCATGCAGTTCGAGGCTTTGTGTGTTGTGTATGTACATATGTGTGCATGTGTATGTATATATTACTTATACACACAACACACACACATACATCAGAAGCCTTCAAAAAGTTCATGGAAAATGCATTTATTAAAAAAACTATATATGAATTTCAAAATCTTTGTACCAGAAAAACTTGTACTTTAATCACATTTTCCCATAACTTTTTGATGTCCCTTGTGTATAAACACACACATACACAATGTAATATGTGTTACACATGGCACACACACACGTATAATATATACAGTATATAATTTATAACATATATATTACATATAATATAAATTATATATAAAACTGACATACAGTAAATTTTAAACATTGATCAAAAACTAATGAAACAACTCTGAAAGTTGCCATACAACATCCTGGTTCAGAACCACTGATCTGGGGCAGTGGTCTCAGCTGGGGGTGATTTTGCCACCAGGGGATATGTGGTAATGTTTTGGTTACCACAGCTTGCAGGTATTACAGGCATCTAGCTGTTGTCACAGGCCTATCACCCAGAAAGATCTGCTTTAGAATATCAATTAAAAAAATAATAAAATAAAAGAATGTCGATAATGCTCAGAGTGAGAAATGTTCCTCCAGAGAATACACAGCAAAAACTGATGATAAAACACATTGCAGTGTTTAAGTATAGCTGACCCTTAAACAACACGGGTTAGACTGTGTGGGTCCATGTCATATGCAGATTGTCTTCCCAATAAATATATTAGATATTTTCTGGAGATTTATAACCATTTGGAAAAATTCTCAGACGACCTGCATAGCCTAAGAATATCCAAAAAACATGGAAGAGACATGGCATGACTGCATAAAATGTCTATAGATGCTAGTCTATTTTACCATTGACTACCATAAAATATACGCCAATGTATAATAAAACATTAAAATGTATCAAACTTACACACTGAGACTACAAATGGTACCACTGACAGTTGAAAGAAAAAGAAACAAACATAGAGGTGCAGTATTGAATCAGAACCGTGTAAAACTAACGATGGTACACACCACACTACTGCAATACCTTCAGCCACCTTCTGCTGTGACTGCAGTGAACTTGAGTGCTGTGAGTATCTGCTTTAAACTCCCGGTGACACTAATTTCCTGTGTGGGCAGAGATAGCTCTCTGATAAATTGCTTATCACAGTAAAAAGCGACCTCCCACAGTTTTTTTTTTCATTGTGTTTAGTGTAATACCATAAACTGTCAATAACACAGGGGACCCATTACCTTTTCATTTTTGATGTTGAGTGTTGGTAACATGTTTAACATCTATCTACAGTGCTTCCTATCAAGTAAGACAAAAGGGATATAGATACAAACTGACAATTCATCTTGTAAATACATGGCATAAGCTTATGGTATCAATAAATAAAGTTCAGTCCTATGAATGTGGTTCCTCTTTATTATGATTTTCTTAATAAATATGTTCTTTCTTTTAGCTTACTTTGCTGTAAAAATGCAGTATTAATATATATGCAATATATAATATATAAAGTGGGTGTTAATTGACTGTGTATGATCAATAGTTGGCTCCTAGTAGTTAAGTTTTGAGGAGTCGAAAGTTATAAGCGAATTTTCAACCATGCAGGAAGTTGGTGCCCCTAACTCCCGCATTGTTCAAGGGTCAACTCGTCCAGCATGAGATGCCATGGGGCCAGCAGGTGCTGTAGCTGTTAAGGTGCTGGAATCACATGTGTTCGTTCACAATTTGAGTTCCAAATCCAATGACTTGAAACTCACACTGGGCGTGTGTGCATGTGTGCCCAAAATTCCAAGAGGAGAATGGAGAAGGGACTGTGGCATGGCCAATCCCAATGGGGGGAGGGTGTGATTTTTCACTTTCTGTCTTTCTCCATGTCTCTGGTGAGCACACATGCACTATAGCAAGAATATCTAATAAATAAATAAATAAATAAATAAATAAATAAATAAATAAAATACAATGTATATAAAAGCCACAAATCCATACCTGTTTCTCTGGAATGATTGTTAAGTCTGGATTATCAGAAGGAAGCCAGGGAACAGAGCAAGAAAAGCTCTTTTCCCAAATGAGACCCCTACCTCAGACCCTTCGAACCTTGACTGCAAACCTTACTTGTCATAGTTGTCTGGGTCAAGGGGCTGGTAGGTGACTTTGTAGCACTCGATTCTCTTCAGGAAGTCCTCCATCACGTTCTCCCTGTTCCTTTCAGGGTAATCAGGGCTCGACACTTTTACCTCCTAAAATTATAGCAACAGTTAGGGCCTAGTCATAGGTCTGCCCTTAACAGCCCTTCTACAAATAGCCACTGCTAAAAACAGGACAAAGAAGTCCAGAAAGTGGCCTTTCACTGAAGCATTGGCACTCCCCATTCACTGAACACCCCTTCTCCTGTCCTGTGACCCTGGCAACCAAGAAGGGAAAGACAACTGGGGAGTCACATGCCTGCCCTTGGCCAAAGGACAGAGGCAGGCATGCAGCTGAGGCTGCTCCTGGGCCCTGATCCCTGTATGTACTCTCCCGAGAAAATGAAATGAGCTCGTTCCTCCTAACTACCACTCAGAACAGGGTGCATGACCCAGTGCCTGATTTGGGGCCAGACGCCTCTTCTGCAGTTGATCCCAAGCTCTCACGTTGTTAGAACGCCTGCAAGAGCATGCAAAGACGTCTACCTGGCTCGGAACAGCACAACCCGTTGAGTGGGACTGCCTTATGCTGTGACCCCACAGGGCATGGGATGCTTGGTGCACAGACTGCTGACTGGGCCACTAGACCTCTGCTATGCAGATGGCCTTCCTATGAGGGGGCCCTGACCTAGGTCTCAGCATCCAGATAGCACCCCGAACACAGGGATGGGCTTCCTGGAGCCTAAGCGTTGGTCTCCATTCAACAGCTAACTCTTCCTTCACTCCTCAAAGCCTTGGTTTCCTCTAAGTAAAGAGTGTAGAAGTATAAAATAGTGCTCTGGCAGATAGAGAAGCTCTCTCTGTGAAGTCAAACAGGCCTTTTTCTGTCTTTCATGACCTGCAACCCCCC